AAAAAAAAAACAAAAAAAAAACGTACTGTAAACAGTACCATTAAAGAAGTGAAAAGACAGTTCACAGAATGAGAGAAAATACTTGCAATTCATATTTCTGATAAAAATCTAATACCTAGAATATATAAAGAACTCATAACTCAAAACAAAAAGGTAAATAACCCAATTAAGAGCCCAAATAGACATTTTTCCAAAGACAATACACAAATGGCCAGTAAGCATATGAAAAGATACTCAGTCGTTAGCCATCAGGGAAATATGAATCAAATCAAAATGAGATACCATTTCATAACCACTAGGATGGCTAGAATAAAAAAGATAATAACAAATTAAACTGGAATGTCTGTACATTGATGGTGGGAACATAATATGATGCAGTTGCTGTGGAAGACAGCATGGTAGTTCCTCAAATGGTAAATAGAGTTACCTGATTCAGCCATTCCTCTCTTAGGTATGTGCCCAAGATAAATGAAAACCTATGTCCACACACAAAAACTTACAAAGATGTTCATTGGCTACCCCCTGCACAGTAGCCAAAAGTGGTAAACAACTGAAATGCCCATCAGTTGATGAATGGATGAAGTGTGATATATACACAGAATAAGTATATCATTCTGCAATAGAAAGGAATAAACATTGAAAACTTGCTTAGTGAAAGAAGCCAGTTACAGAAAAACAAATGTTGTATGATTCCATTTATATGAAATATGAAATGTCCAAAATAGGCAAATTCACTGAGACAAACAGGTGGTTTGTTGCCTCAGGCGGGTGGGGGGAGAGGGGTAGGTAGGGCAGGGGTTGGAGTTGGGGGAAATGGGGAGTGATTGCTAATAGCTACAGAGTTTCTTTTAGAGTATTTTCATTAAAAATACTCTAAAATTGATTGTGGCAGTACCTTCACAACTCTGTGAAGATACTGAAAACCACTGATCGTATTCTTTAAATGGGTGAATTATATGGTATTTATTTCTTAATAAAGCAGAAAAAAAGATAAAAGCCATGTTAGTTTTTTGGGAAAAACCCCAATTTTTAAAAAAAATTCTGTATTAAAAGTATATATACATTGAAAAGAGACTAGAAGGAAATACAGTAAAAAAGTTTTAAATAATTTTATCTGGATAGTGGGGTTAAGGGTGTTTTTTACAATGAATGTGCACTGCTTCTGTAATCATGAAAGCAACTAACAGACCTCGGGGGAGGGTCTCCTGTTGAGCCTTCTCCTGGACCAAGCAGCCCTCCGTGAGACCCCCTGCATGGCCTGTGTGTGACCAAGCCTTAGGAGCGGAGGCACTAAACGCTCTTGGGCAACAGAAAAGCTGGGCTGGTCTCCTGGCCATTTGTAATAGGAAAGGTTATACCACAGAATTACATAAATGTATATTACTTTACTTTGGATGTCAGTTTTTAATAAAATATACCCCCAAAGTTACTCAGTTATGATAGCCTTCAGCTCTGGACTATTAAACTCTCCAAACTGGTTTTTTTTTTTTTTTGGAAGCTATTTTTAGAGAGTTACCCTTTCTAAATATACATATATAGTTGATGGTGAAATAAATATTCTTCTCACATTCTTTCCTGCAGCCAAATGGCAATATTAGGAAATGTATGCACATATACTCTTTAAGCTCTTAAATCTTTAGGACATTCATTGGAAGTGAGTTCTTTCTAGGAGCCTGGCGAATCCAGATGCAGTTCCTAAAGCTGCTTTGATGCACTGTCAGTGTTCTGCTGCCCTTGGACTTTCCCTTGCTCCCGGTGAGTCTGTAGAGGGACGCCTGCAGAAGGAACCTGTTGAAAAGAAAAAACAACCTGCTTGTCAGTTATTTCAGAAATTTGTTTCCACATCATAGGCCTTTGGCTTGAACATTAATTGTGAAATAGCCTTTGTCTCTTGCTATTTTGTGCTAAACCTGTTTTCTGTGAATAACTAGGGTTGTAAAGAAAGGTTATTAAAGGGCAGACTCTCCCATTTGAGAGGGGAATGAGTAGCTTACTCTCTCATGTAGCCTAGAGATCTAAGACTTGCCGTGCCCCATGTGGGCAGCACCTTGGCACTGCCTGAGCACCCCAGGGAGGAGGGCATTGTCCTTGGATGTGTGTTTACTCAGAAGTCTGTAGGGAGAATCTGATGTGACTCAGAGACAGTAACCTCAGAAAAGCTGGACAAGGTGTTCTTGGGGTGGGATGCAGATGTTCAAGCAGAGAAAAGTGATTCCACAAAACGTGCAACTTGCGGCATGACAGAGAGCTTGCCGATCACGCCTTCCACTCTTCGGTCCAGGACCTGGTGTTAGAAATGTCTTCGTTAGTATCAAAAGACATTATAGCACTAGAAAAGCACAGACAGAATACTCTACAGCCATTAAAATGAGTGCGGTAGAGCCATATCTTTTGAACTGGAATAAACAGCATGCTTATTTTTAAACCAGAGTGATTTTTTAAAATGAGACTCAGCAACATTTACAAGGGAGACCTTAGAAAACACCTAAATTTGAAGGGCTTCTAGAACATAAAATCTCCTATGCAATAACATTAGATTGAAAAGTGTCAGTGAGACCCCAGACCCTCAAAGAGAGAGATGGCTCATGCTCTGACAAGGTGAGTGGGCAGGTGGGTGCTGGGCAGTCCACTAGGCCCAGTGCAAGGTTGGTGGTCAGACCCTCAGATCTCCAGGCTTCACAAAAATCACACATAGGTCCATGCCATAGACTTTGGAGTACTCACAAGTCATTACCAAAGCACCAAGCCACCTGTACACTCTGTCCCTGGCCTCGGCACACAGCTGCTCACCACTGATGGCACTGGCGTGAATGCATGCATACAGAACATGGAGGCAGTGAGGGTGGCTGGTGTGTGTTGTGGCAGCAGACCACCCGTGAGGGCAAGACAGATGAGTTTATCTAAACCATAAGGGGAAGAGAAAGGGTGAACGATTTACAGATTACTCATTCCTAGTTCTTTTGTTGGTCTTTGCTTTCCAGGCTAATTGTTTCTGTAAGGCTATAGTCTAATTAGAGACCTCAGCATAGGGCAGTGTCTGTCACACCAGGGCCAGTCACACCCTGTCCTCCCTCCCACAGGACAGAGCAGGTGGCTCTGAGTCAGGCTGTGTTGATAAACAAGGGGCCTCAGGAAACTGAGTTTTTCCAAGTTTGTGTCCTTATCCCTAAGATAGAAAAGTAAAAGTTCTGTCTTTAGCTGGGGTGTTGTGAGCCTCAGTTGAGGGAACCTGGTAAGGATCTTACCCGAGGGCCCATGGACAGCAGCAGGGACAGCAACAGTGACCAAGTGTTCCCTGTGCCATCCGGCCCGCTCCACCCTCAGTGGGTGTCACGCGCTTCTCCCTTCTTCTCCTCTACCACGTCCTCTCCAGGCAAAAGTCCGCGGTCTCAGTAATCAGCCTGCGGAACTGGAGACCAGCCCAAGCTTGCTCCCCTTCCTTGCACGGTTGCCATGACCGATGTTTTAGATGGATTGTATCCAGTGGAGGTGAGGCCCCAGTGTTTCACTTGTCCCCTTGCCCAGGAGCATCATAAGCTCACAGGAATCAGGCTGAATGTCAGGGTCCTCGGCATTGGGAACCTGGGGGGTTGCAGGGTGAGGACCAGCCTGACAACTACATGTCCAGGGAGCCTCAGCCGAAAGAAAGGCGGGCACACATTTGACGAGATGTGCCATTGATTCTGAATGTTGGAATCAAGCTGATTTGGGGGGGCAGGGCAATTGGCTGAGCCACTCGTATGAAAGAGCTAGTTCACAGGAAGATGGGCTGAAAAATAAAATAGACAAAGGGGAGTTCTTACCCGCGATGGTGGCATTGTTTCTTCCTTTTCTGTTCACTGACTTATGTGGGACTTGGAATTTATAGGGAAGGAGTGCAGCTCCGAGGGTCACCCATCTCTGCAGGGGACCATCAGTGACCTCATAAAAATAAGCACCTGTCTTGCTTTCCAGTTGCATTCTAGCTGATTTCGGTCGCTTCTGTTTTGCCAGCTGCCGGAGGCACCACCCACTGAGGAGGAAGAACAGGAAGCCTGGGTGAACGCCTTGCTTGGAAGACTGTTTTGGGACTTCTTAGGAGAGAAATACTGGTCTGATCTGGTATCTAAGAAAATCCAAATGAAACTCAGCAAAATAAAGGTATTGTTTACCACACAAGAGACTTCCCAAATTCTTCACATTTCTTAATTTCCCAAAGTTTTGTACCATTATATCCTAGGTGAATAATAACTTGGTTTAAAGTATGTAACATGTGAGAGTCGTACGTCCTTATCACACAGCGTATCTGGGCTGTGACCTTAACCAGAGACTAACAGCATCTGGGGACTTAGTCCCTCCTTCCTTTTCCCTTGTGTTGCCCTCATTGTTATCCACTCTAGTGATAATCCAGAACTTGACTTGGGGAAATGTAAGCCTTTGTAACTGGTATGTTGAGTAGACTTCTGTTGTCTTTAAGTTGGTTAGGAAGCTGAATGGTATTTCCAGAATCCCCCTCCCCCCGCACCGAGCCAGTCTCCCATCGAGGTCACACAGTAAACGCTGAGGACAATGCCAGATACGAAAACCTCCTTCCCAAGTCTTGCTCCCTCGCAAAGCCGGGAAAGTTAGCATTGTACTCTAGATGTGTCTGTGTTTGACCGTTACTTCTGGCCAGATGGTATTTTATTTTGGGCTCACTCTGCTGAAGAGACAAGTCCTGATGCTGATCTAGGCCCACCTGGAAATGAATTTAAACTGCATAAGTATTTCTCACAATTGCCACCAAATGACTCATTTATACCACCTTTACCAACCAAGAGCCATTATTTAAGTTACTCATAAGTAAGTTTTAGTTACTAAGAAGCAAGACCCAGTGAAGGCCCAGCCGAGGAAGGGTCACTTTGGTCCCCAAATTTGCACTGAGAGGTCGCAGTCAACAGCTTAAGCCAGTGGATCTTTTGGGTCATAGATACCTTTGAGAAGCAGAAACATATAGATCCTTTCTCTAGAAAAATGCAGTGACATGGAATCTTGTTCCTAATGTTAGGGTTCAAGGACTCAAGGTCAGGAAATGGGGAGCTAAGGTAAAATCACAGTTGAAGGGAAGTGAGGGCAAAGCGGAGCTTCGGTTTGATCCTGTCATTCCTTTGGGTAACAGACCAGTCCTTCTCTGACTCAGTGAAGCTCTGGCAAATTCTGTCTGCTGGTTGCAGGCTGTGCCGTTCCTCCCCTAGCCCGCAATGAAGAGGAGAGGCTGCTTCCAGAGCCGGAAGGGTAGATTTGGAGGCAGAATTCAGGGCAGGGGTTTGGGGGTTTGGGAGGGCTCTGTTGACAAGGGTCAGCCTGTTTGTGTTCTTCAGGTGGGTTGAAGATTGACCCCTCTCTGCTCACCAGGTCCATGGGGGGAGCAGGGGGCAGCACTGACCCTCCTGTGTTGGCATTAATGGTCAGAGGCTAACCTGGAGCCGCTCAACCTCTCCTACTTTTTGGAAAATATTGAAGGGCTTGAGTTCCTAGGTGAAGGCACTTGGGCAGGACTGGCAGTCCTCTTTTCCCCGAGGCTGTCACGGGCCCTTCCCTGAGCAGGTGCGCTGCAGGCCCTGGCAGTGTGTGTGACAGAAAGCAGGGCGTGCCTGGACTCCGGACAGGACACCGCTCTCCCTGTTACCCACAGCCCAGAACAGAGCAGACTCAGAGGGGGCAGTGACCCACACGTCTCTCTGGAGCGGGAAGTCCATGGAGCCTCTGCCCCTGGTGGACAATGCTTGGTTCTCTCATCCCACAGGAAGCTGAAGAGAGTCTTTTAATTTCATCTTCCCCTTTTGCTGGTCACGTGAACCTTCGCAGTCCACACACTTAAATTCCCTTTTGGTTTTTGAAGCTGGGAGTGCTGGAAGGTTAGGATGGAGAGAAGTGGCCTAGATCCAGCAGCACCAGCAGGTCAGGTAGGCGCTGTGCCCCCTCCATTGCCAGCCTCACCGCCTGCACCCTGACCGGGGCAGTAGAGTAAACAGGAAGGCAGCAGAATATCAGCCAAATTCTGGACGTACCACCACCCCTGCCAAAAGAGCTCTTATGGTAACTCATCAATACCCGCATATTCCTAGGAAGAGCTGTTCCTTAAACTTGGTAGTGAGTATTGGTTAACAGCCAGTCCGGAGCCAGAGCAGCTGGGGGAGCCTGAGCCAACCCGCTGACAAAGGTCTACTCCTCCTGGTTTCCCTGGGAGGCCCAACGTACGCAGAACTCTGCTGGCCTTGCTCTGCAGTCCGTTGTCACCCTCGCATGGGATAGTGTTGTGAAAGAGCAGCCCTGTGGATCCCTGTGGATCTGGTGCCCATTAATGGGTGTAAAACAAGCTGAGTTTCGGCCCCAACAGCAGGTACTCTCTTGGCCTCAGCTGGCTGCTCCACTACCGCGGGGGGCCCTCAGTCATGGGCCTCTTGTGTCAGCAAATGCGGCTGTTCGCACACACAGCACCCGCCAACGTGACAATGTCCCGTACACCAGTTGGGTTTTGCAGGCGGGTAAAGAACATGCAGTGGCTTCCTGTGGCACTATGGTGCCTTTGGGTGGGAGGAAGGGAGTTTCTGTTTGAAAAGAGAGGAGGAGGAGGAGGAGGAGGAGGAGGAAGAGGACCTTGCCTTGCCTGCAGAGTAGGAAGGAGGCTGCTGTAGGGCCTGAGGCTGAGTTCGATTCAGATCAGAGATCTGAACTAGGATGGAGTGGGAAGGGAAGTTAGAGGTGTTCTTGGAGTTCGGTGCTCAAGTGAGTGAGTAGCGAGCCAGACCCTGCTGACCCTCCTCCCCATTCTGCCTATAGCTAATTTGAGCCCACCCACTCCTGGCCAGTCCTTCTCAGTCCCCTTCTTCAGCTCTGGTCCTGCCTCGGGTCCTCCCCCTGCCCTCGCAGGGACCACGGGATGCAGGAAGAGATGGGGTGGGTGGTGGACCAGGTACAGGGAAGGACATCGTGTTCCTGCCCTCTCTGTACTTGCTCCCCTGGCTCAGTGTCGGACTTCTGGTCCCATAGAAACCCGACCTGCTCCTGACACACTGGGCATTAGAATGACAATAATAGACCAAAAGGACTGAGGCAAGAGGGTGACATTTTGGCTACATTCTTGGTCAGGTAGCATTCTGTAGCCCGATTGGGAGGTCAGCTACCATACAACGCTGATGCTTTCGAAAAAGGTTTCCAAATACAGCAGCCACCAGGTCAGAAGTGCTTGTTTGAATACTGTCTCTAGTCACAGACACCATAACCTCTTTACATTAACCCGTCCACCCCTGAAAAATCAGAGATGAAGTTCTCTGACTGGTGAGTCCTAAAAGTGTGTAAGTTTGATGGCTGAAGAGGTCTAGCCAAAATAGGCATTAAATCCACACCTGGCTAGATGTTACTGTGTTTTATGGAAAATGTTCAGCATATATTTAATTTTAAAAACCCTTAATTTTAAACTTTACAATATTTCTCAATGTTCGAATACAGAAATATTCATGAGGATAAGAAAATTCTGGGGGAAAAGAAAGGAGAAGGACTTGCCAAATTTCACAATGTATTTTAGAGCTACATTAATAAAAGCAGTTTGATACTGGTAGAAAACAGAGTGCTCAATACAGACTCCAGTGTAGGAGGAATCTCATATTTATAGGTAGCATTACAAATTGTTAGGGAAAGAATTGGTTGTTTAATTAACAGGTTAAGATAACTGACTAGCCACTGGAAAAACATTAAGATGGATCCCTAATTTACATCTTATACTAAAATTAGAAATGGACTAAGGATTTTTTAAAAAATACATGCACATATGTAAGTCCAGGTGCAGGAAACACAGATGAATTAATTCTGTGGTCTTGAGGCAAGGTAGGAATTTCTAAGCATGCTACCAGTACTTTTCTGTTATTTCCTTTAGAGTAAAAGCCTACCATAGTTGTATTAGTCGGGTCCCAGCAGGAAGCAGATGAATGGAGTAGCCCGAGCAGAGGAAGACTTTTAATGCCCCAGCAGAGGAAGAGTTTAATAAAAGAAGGATTTATAAAGGTTTGGGCTGGTGTAGAGAAACCAAAAGGGACAGTGTGGCTGCCCAGGGCTGGCGGCAGTGGCGAGCTGTTACCACTCCCTGATCAGGCAAGAGCCCGGAGCGGTCGCCAGAACTCAGGCAGCGTGGCTGGGGAGCGGAGGGCTGCCTGTCTGACAGGAGCGGGGCCCTCGCTAGAGGGAGGGGCAAGGCCCAACGTACCGCTCCCTGTACCTCCCCGCCGCCCCTCCCACTGGTGCATCCCGCTGGCCACGCCCAACCGGAATCCCAAGGGCAGGAGAGCTGCTGCTGAGGTTCAGACACCAGCCTCTGGGCTAGAGTGGGCTCCAAACCAGGGGTCAAGCAGAAATTGTCCAGCGCGGGGTCAAGGGATGTGATTTTTTTCAAGAACTTTAATAAATGTTAGGTTGCCCATCCAAAATGTTGTAGCAGTTTCCTAACTCCCCACTAGTGGTCTAAAAGAGGTCCATTTTCCCACACTTTAGCCAATCCTGGGGATTGTTAACTTGACCGGCATGGCTGGCTCCTTCTCCACAGTCAGATCTCTGGCCAGATGCTGCTCCTCAGAGAAGCCTTCATTGACCTCCTCAGCCAAAACTTGTCACCCCTGCCCCCTGCCCCCAGCTCCCTCTGTTCCATTACCTGCTTTATTTTCTGTGTAGCACTAATCACTCTCTGAAGTTGTCTACTTATTTTTCTGTTTCTGCCTCTGCGATATAAACCCCACAAGAGCAAGGACCTTGCCTCACTCATCCAGGCTCTGACTGTAGTATGATGCCTAGTATGTGCTATGTGCTTAATAAATTTTGGTTAAATGTGTCCCCAGAACCTTGACCATCATCCCTTCTGAGAGTATGCTGAATTCTAACATTTGCCAGGTTACTAACTTCTCATTCATTGTTTACTTCTTTTCTCCAGCTCCCCTACTTTATGAATGAGCTAACTCTGACGGAACTTGACATGGGGGTAGCTGTGCCAAAAATCCTTCAGGCCTTCAAGCCTTATGTTGATCACCAAGGTAATTCTTAATGGACTCCAGAGAGAAATTGACCATTTAAATGAGTGTTAAAATGTCTCCTGTGCTGTAAATCAAATGCCAAGGCTTTGTGTTTTGGAGTGAGTTGGGGACTTTTTAACCATCTATTTCATATTGATTGTCTTGTTCTTAACAGCCATAGCCTTAAACTGATGGTGAATAGGTCCCCATCCTAATCATTTTAGTGTCTTGGATCCTATAGTTCCTCCTCCAGCCCCAAGATGTATGTGCCAGTTGGTGGGACCTGAGCTTTTGTGTGATTTAAAAAACAGACCCTGCCCTGGATGGCCACACAGTCCTTGTAGGGTGCGAGGCCGTGGGCTGGATTTCAGCCCCTTCACCCATCCAGGCCTCACTGTGGGTATCTGCCCCAGCCCTGAACTCTTACCTGGAGCTGCCTCTCATACATATTCACATACTTACTTCTAGGTTGCAGATTCTTTCGCCATCATGTTGTACATCTTTATGTTCCTTACCACTCCTAGTAGACACTCAGTAAATGTTTGAAAAAGGAAGACATATATCATCAGGCAATATTTTGAGAGTAAGGCTCTCTGATGGAGGAAAGTTCTCAGATTTTATTTTTAAGACATACTACTATGGACATGTTATTTACAGTATGGGTCAGGGGAGAAAGTTGATTAGAATGTAGAGAGAGTTTAAATAAAATTATGATGTAAAGATACATGTATATTTTGAGGCATGTGGTTTTAGAAGGACCCTGATGGAAAATTGAGTACATCGGAGTTTGGCGAAGAGTGAGCCGGGTAGGTAGGAGTAGGGTGTGAGCAGGAAGAAATCCTGCTGTCGTGGAAGCATCTGACTTTTTTCTGTGGCACCCCTTTCCAAATGAGCTTCTCTCCACCTAACCTGGGTTTACATTATTCTTCAAAGGAACAGGAGCAAGGTAGAAGAGAAAAAAATTACAACTTTTCAAAAAAGTGATATTTGTTTTGAAGTAAATGTTTTATAAAATTTAGAGACGGAAATTTAGAACATCTATTTTTGTCTCTGTATGTCTCTATCACATTGGCTCTTGAATCATATTTAGTGAAATCATTTTCTGTGTTGTGTACATGTGATGTAAATACAAAGGTTGTTTTCTACCAGTGCAATTAGCAGCTCTAACCCTCTCTCTAGCGTTATTTCAGCTGACAGTGAGCCCATACTTCCAAGTTGTTGGCATCTTGTGGATTTCAGAGAAAGACAGACTGGAGTATTTGCAAATCCAGAAGTCCACCTAATACTTGCATGTTGAGATCACCTGCAACCACTTAATATGTCTGCGCTTTGATAAATCTGTGTGCTCCCGGGTTTGGTTAATTTCTGTTTCACTAATAGTAAAACTAGAAAAGGTCATTTTCAAATGGATTAGGTAGAGTTCTTTTAAACATGTGTGAAATTTTAAAAGAGCATTATCAGTGTGTTAAGTGCGTAGCTAGGATCGTCACCCCATTGGCATACGAGGGCTGCCTGCCTTCCTCTGACTGTTGGTTCTGGGTTGCCCCTTGCTCTTTGCCTCTTGGAACTGACTTGTAATGAGCTGGTAAATGATCAGCTAATGTCAACCTTCAGAGAGTCAGGCTTAGAGAAAGCAAGTAATAGTGTACACGTTCTACTTTCTAATGTGTTAGCAGTCTCCTATCTCAGGACTGTCCCTTATATTAGTAGAAATTTCCAAGGGGAGAGAAGAAGGGCCACAGCTGGGTTTTGCCATATCTTAAGAAATGTCCCTGTGGCTTTGAACTCTGCCGCCTCCCTGGCAACTTTGTGAAGCTTTGAGTGAAATTCACCAAATGCCTAGGTCTCTAGTTTCTTTCCTGTTCTTTGGAGCAAGACATTTCACTATATAGATCAAAGCTTTGCCGGGTTTTAATCTATTCACGGCTTATTTAACTCCTTTCAGGGCAAGTTTTAGAGATCTGCTGCTTATGTAACAAGGGAGGAAATGTTACTAAGGAAAATGAGAAAGACATAGAGCCTGTGGGTTTTAAAGTTTGATCAAGTAAGGTTTTTCCACATCTTCAAAGCATGCATGTGATGGTAAAACAGAAATGAGCACAAAGGAAACATGCGTTTTGGTTTCCATTGCTCTAAGGGAAACTTCCCTTTTAAGGAAATAAAAATCAGAGGTGACTGACTGAAACTGATGTAGAAAGCAGAGCTCCCCTTCCAGGGAAATGCGCCCCGGGTGAGGAAGGCTTTAGCAGCGGGAGAGAGAAGTGCCTCCCATGGGATCCCCGCCAACACCCTTTAAAAAAATTTTTTTTTTAATGTTTCCTCACTTGTGCTTGTTTGTTGGAGGCAATGGTTCAGGAGGGATGTTCGGCCGGAGTGGGGTGGATCACTCCATCCTCAGGATGCCCCTCTTGAGGCAGCACAGAGCGGTGGTTCTGAGTGCCAGCCCTGGGGCCGGCCTGCTGGTTCACAGCTCTGGGCCGTAGGCGAGTTCCTTAAGCCTCCTGGCCAACTCCCCTCTCAAGACAGGAGACTGACGGCGCCTACGTGGTAGGCCTGTTGCGAGGATTAAGGGAGTTCACATAGGAAAGGCCATCGAGAGCATCTGGTGAGAGGCCAGTGCTCCGTGCAGCGGTGCAGCTATTTTACCGTAGTTAGTGCTGCCCTCTGTGCGGCTGCTGCTGCCCTTGGAGAGTTTAAAATGTGTTGGCCATGGTGTCCGATGACCCACGCTGCAGCTCGAAGCCGGCAGATCCTACCAGGATAAAAGGGAAGAAAAGGCCCTTCTCACCTGTGGTGGCCTTGCCACTAGAAGAAGCAAAGTCTGTAGTTCCTCTGAATGAAGTCCCACGTTGGCCCCCTGGGCCTGTCTTGAGTCCCAGGACACAGCCAGTTTCCAGTGTCATGAATAAGGCTAAGGGAACGCCTTTCCCAGGGTTGGCATGTCACACCAAAGGCAAGTAGTGGAAGATGGAGAGCATCTGTCCCTTGGGAGCTGCCTGCACTTCCTGCCTTATTCCTGACCCCTGTCCCCATCACACACATCTCTAACTGTGAGGTATGTGTGGGTCTCCTGCCTTCAGACCACACAGTGGGACCCAGAAGCCTCCTTGGACTGGCCTCCCCTCCCAGCCCTCATCCATACCCTGGGCTTCTGTCTCTAGGCTTGTCCTCTAGGGCCCACCGGGCCACACCGCTCAGCTAAGCTCTTTCCGGTTGTTTTATTAATCCCATTAAGGTGGTATTTGCCCCTTCATTTGTTCAACAAGTACTAATTTTGGGGAAAACTGAAATATTACCCTCATCCCATGATTCACAGACAGCCGGTTACCTTTTTGGTACATATTGTACATTTTTAGCATATTCATTCCTAATATTTTTTCTCTGGTGGATAAAAATTACTTGAGCATGCATAGTTCTTTTTCATGTCCTGCATTTGGTTGTGGTGATTAAATGTCACACATAAAGGCTCAGAGAGCGCACAGTGAGCCATCAGGGCTTGCTGTTGCTGTGGCAAAACTTCATCATTACTGAAAGCTTCCCGGGGGGCTTGGGGGGATCCTCCCTGTCATCTGTGCCTGGGACCGAGGGTGTCAGATCAGTGTCAGCATGAACCACAGATGTGGACTGTCACCCCTTCAGGTTCAGATTAATTTATTTTGTCTTCAGAACATATGTTGCACATATTTAAGTCTGCAGGTAGTCGTTGAGTGTCCTCCGTGGACAAAGTGCTATACTGGTTTCTCCCAGTTTCAAAATAGTCAGATACCTACCCACGTTTCCACTGAAGGTGTTGGATTCTGTGGAAGGGTTACCACATGCCATAGGAATAGGAACCTTGTCTTCAGCGAGGCCCTTACTTATGACTAGCAGTGTCCACCATCTACAGCTCACCCTGTGGACCCTACCCTCTGGTGCCTGGTGCCTTTATCCAGGGCTGGGACTGAGATTACTTGGTCAACTGAGAATTGCAGGAAACCAGAAGCAGAGGCAGTTCGTGGCCTGCCCGTTCCTCCCGCTGCGCTCTTGTCAAGAGCAGACGTTAGGAGAGCAGCTGCCTGGGGCCGAGCACAGTGACGGGGCTGGACTGTGGGGCCCAGTACTGCAGGAGTGGCACGCACACTCTGACCAGATCGTGTTGTGGAAAGAAAAACACTTTTTTGTGGAAAGGGAAAAAAATGCCCTTTTGTGAAACTCATTTGGGGTGGGAAAGAGAAGACTCTGATTTGTGACTATGTCCACCTTGAAAGGAAGAGCTGTTGCTAAGAACGGTTACAGATAGACAAAGCTAAAAACGATGTCTGTCTTGGAAGACACGTGCAAACACTAGGCATGCTGGTCTTCTCTGGTGTCCGAGTGAGCCATGTGAGGCAGTCTGTTCGCCAGGAACAAAACAGTCCCTGTTGTGCCCTTCTGAGAGCTAAGTAGCTCAAACATCTGTTTTTGGTAATATATTATTAAATATTCTCTTTTAAGAAATTTTGTTTTTTTGTATGCCAAATGTTGACTTTCAAAGTGAAAATCAGCCACTAATACAAGTCGAAGGAAATGGAGGAGCAGATACACTGGGGCCAATGTCAGGTGAGCAAGGATTTAGGGTCTCTTAACTCCTTCTAAGCAGTGGGTGCCTGTTAAACTTAACCTATTGCAATGAGACTGATGCCTCCTAGTTATTTTAATTGTAATAAAACAGTGAACTGCCAAGTGACATTACTAGATTAATGTGGCCACAGTAGACCGTTTCTGAGGCTGAGGGGTCTGTTAAGTAGAACACCAGGGACCAGGCAGAAGAATCTGTGTCTAGCTGTCCTGGTGGCACCAAGGTCTTATCTGCACCAGGTGGCCCAGGCCTCTCTGTTCTTCCTCAAGTATAAACTGCCTGAGGGCATGGATTCATCGCAGTGTCTTTAGCACTGGTATCTTGCACTAAGAACTCAATAAGCATTTTTGTGTGGAGTGACCTGTATGTTTTGCTGCAACCTCCTTCTGAGTAAAGGTGGTGGCACCTGATCCTTCTCTCATGA